TTTTTCTTTAAATTTGTATTAAAAAAAATTTACCATCCACCCATCCATCCATCCATCCATCCATCCATCCATCCATCCATCCATCCATCCATCCATCCATCCATCCATCCATCCATCCATCCATCAGCGGTCACAGCTATCCTTTGCATTCGTGGACTAAAAAAAAGATTTTCCTTATTGTGAATAGATAGTCCTATGTTAAGGCCAGTCAATCTACAAGATGCTCCACCCCCAGGTACCACCTAATTTCTAAGTTCTTTTATAAGCAACCCTTTTAAAAAATCCTAGTTGTTAAGATAATAGGTAAAGACAAAAAGATTTGTTTTTTATTTTGGCTTTGGACGTCATAGAGAGTAGGGGTCTTTAGAAAGCCACGGAAACTACAATAGCTGTAGTAGACCTGCACTCTACATCACTACAGCTGCTGTAATGATGTTGAGGGCAGGAAAGCAGGACAGTTATTTGTCAACAAAAAAAAAATCTACAGGCCACTTCCACCAGTTAATGTTGGGTTATTTTTAATGTTAGAAATCACCCAATACATTCTAACCTTCATGCATGCTAGGTATATACAGTCGGATCTGGTGGGGCACCTTTGCTTATGTGGGCCGCTACTGGAAACCATGGAAACCAGTGGACATACGCCAACATCCTTTTGTCCAACACAGAAGATTTCAGAGTTACCTTCGAGGGGGAAGTTGGTGGAGACATGTGGACAGACATTGCCCTGGATGACATTTCATACACGGCAGAGTGTATGGTTGGAGGTAAGGAATTATAAAGCTTTATTTGGCCTTTTTGCTCTTTGGTTTTGTTTCTCCCCTTATTTCTCCTCCTCCAACCACTGTCCTCTTTTTCATTTCCTCCAGTTTTCACCTTTTCCTCTTTTTTCTTTTATGCTCTAATGTTCTACACTTCTTCCCTGAGTTTCCTTATAAACAACGTGAACCCATAAGGAGAGGGGTAGAAAGTTAATGGAGCCTGTTGGCCTGTAGGTTTGTATAAATTTACTCTGGAGATCAGGTCAATGCTTAGGGGTAGCACAACTGGAGGAAAAGCAATTACATTTATATTGTGTTGTTTCCTTAGCCTCACCTCTCTTCTCACTCTTCACCTTCCTCGATCAACTTTCTCAAGGCTTTCAGATCATAAAATTCCTGTTTCTGATTCAAGCAACACTCAGAGTTTCTTCTGTGAAGAATGTCTAATTTGTGTGAGCCAAAACTCAATGAAGAAGCTTGCTAAATTTTAACATTTCCACTCAATTCCATCCTAGGACCAGTAACTCCACAGCCGATGACCTGTGACCCTGAGCAGTTCCAGTGTGCATACTCCTTCCAGTGCATTTCAAAGAGCTGGTGGTGTGACGGGTTGCCGGACTGTGCAGATCAGTCTGATGAAGAGCTCTGCCCAACAGCCCTGCCGGGGACCGTCCCGCCTCAGGACGGCTGTCCTGCTGAGAGTTTTCAGTGTTCAGACTTCAGCTGCTTCCCTGCCTTACTGCGCTGTGATGGGGTCTATGACTGCCCAAATGGAGAGGATGAACACAGCTGTCGTAAGTATGGATGTGGTGTCATTTTGGAACTTACACTACAGTATGACTGTTTTGTCATAAGTTATGTGTTATTATAACTCAAGGTGAACACATTTCTTTAAAGTTAACTCATAGAAGTGTTAAACATGCTTAATTCGTGCTAGCTTGACATGGTTTTTGACTTTTAAAAAAAATGTGCTGAGGAAGAGATGGAAAGGCATTATTTGAAAATGTTCTGACATGATAAAATAGGTGCAACTTGCCTGATTACATGTTTATTCAAACTTAAAAAGTTTGGTCAAAGTTTGCATCATGCTTGGATGTAAACCGAATGATAAGTTGCCTGTATGAAATATAGAATAGCCTATTTAGAGCAATCCTGTAATTTACCTTTCACCTGTTGCTGAACAATGTCAGTCTGCTGAAGGAAAGAAGTTTGCAACACTTCTCCCTTGTTTATAAAAGGTAAAATTTGGCTCTTTGGAAATGTTTCTAGTTGTAAAAAAATGTAGACCATAATTAAAACAGTTATCTTCTTAATGTAATTTTTTACCTACTACGAGATGTTACCCTGTTTCTGTTTTTTTTTCTGTGTTCATAGAATGTTTAAAAACAGAAAATGAATAATATTTGGTATAAAAGTATGGCATAAATGTTATTAAACTGAGCAAAAATGTATTAATGTTTAAGTTTTAATTTATGTGCCCGATTTATAAATTTTTTTGTTTCCCTTTTACACAAAAGCAACTAGACTATTCTATATAAGAATCTGTTAACCGTTTCATCTTTTTTTTTTATCCATCTCTGAGAACATATTTTTCAGGGGAACATAAAAAAGATGCAATATTTGTTGTAAAAATGAAAACATGAAATGAAGACCATTAGAGAGATTGAAACTTTGGCTGTAACTATAAATAACTCCTTGCTTTTATGTAAAAAAAAAAAAAAAATCAATGTTTATATGTCTTCAAAATGATGATGTAGTACATGCCCACCTTTCACTATGAGAGATGAAAGGAACCACAGTTTTGCTTTAAAATATGGATACAAACATATATACCTTCAGATCTTAAAGTGTGCATAAAAACACAAACAAAACTGTTAATAAAAAGATAATTATTAAAGAAAGCATCAGGTTCCTATTTCCTAATCGACATTCCTGTCAGCTCTTAAGAATCCCAAATAGTGTTTAAGGGTGTAAAACACTGAATTCCCTGCTTAGATGTATTTTACATTGCAAAAAAAACTTCCAATTCTAACTTGGTCTTAACTGAGTGCCCATTAATACCGTAATCAATAGATAACTGGTAAAAAGCTGATTGGTTACCTAAAGAAACCAACATGACTGCATGAAGTCAGTGAATGTGCAGCAATAAATCCCTTAGAGCAAGCATCTTTTGACAGTGGAGAGAGAGAAAAAATACAACCTTTGAAGCCCTACAGTACCTGGTTTAGTAATGAAATGCCAGGGCCCCTTTATATGGGAAAGCTAAACAAAAATATTACACAAAAGTGGCAATCCTTTCAAGTATTCCATTCAGGGAAGAGATGCAGTTAAATTCAGAAGCACTTAGCCATGATTCTTTTATATTAGAAAGTAAAACAAGGAAGGTACCAAATGCACTTTGTCCATGAAAAACAAAAAATTATCTTATAGAGCACAAGGTTTTGGCAGCCATGATTCCAGATGATTGGAGAGTCAAGCTTAGAACAATGAGATCCAGTATTTGAGGCGGACAAACAGATTACTCAAAACTTTTATTGGAAACAGAATTGCAGTGAGCGGCGTTGGCATCTAAGGCAGGAACCTCTGGTCTTACAGTTTATTCCAAGCCTAGAGGGTGAGGTTGACGGTGTCAATGATGTTCTTGGAAGTCTGAGCTACATAGCTGATAAGTGGTTAAAAGAGGTGCTGAGGGAGAATCCAGAATGGAGTTGGGAAACAATTCCAGATTCAGTTCACAGAAAGGCTGAAATCCACCAGGAGTCCATAGACAGGTCAGGCAAACAGATCAGACGGAGCATGAGGCTCAGTGGTTAAGAGGCAGAACAGGTCATGAGCAGGCAGTCAGAAACACAGGAATGCTCGAATACTTCTCAACAATGGCTTAAGAATAATCTGGCACTGGGGACTTGTCTGAAAGCTGGTTAAATAGAGAACAAAGCAGGTGGATCAGACGAGCAGTAATAAGAGCTGGATTGAGATAAGCAGGTCAGTGAAATGAGTAATCAGATAGACATCAGCGCCAATATTGTGACATGGCGTTCCAATTACTGTGGTTTTTGATCCCGATTGACAAAAAACTGGTGTGAGTGTATCTATATATTCTCTATATTCGGAGCTGCACTACGGGCGCACTGGGAAAACTCCCATAGAGAAAACCAAAATAAATCAATTTAATTAAACTAAGATGGAGCAGGAGGATTCAGACCTTCAAATGTTAGAAGAGCTCTTAATTTCACTCTAAATTCAGCAGGGATCCAGTGGATTGAAGCGTAAGGTTAGAGAAATGTCAAATTTTTCTCTTTATAGAAGTTACAGTACATCTGGCCTGTTGTTCTATTTAGCTGTAATTCCTTCCTAAAGCAGAGGAGGCATTGGCTGAACAACTGCTGCAGATAGCTTCATGTTCTACTGTTGATGAACTTGGCTTTGGCTATACCAAGCTATATTGGCTTAGTTTTAACTATGTCTGACTGAATAAGCTCTTTTCATTCCATATGCAATACTTAGAATTTCTTTACTGTAGCTGTTTCTAGAGGAATAACAAAGAAAAGAAGTTGTCACACTTGGATCATTTATTTTCTTTACCATCCCCCCCTTCAATCAGTGCTACTATGTTCTTTTTGTTTCCCCAGTCAGTCGTCTCAGAGGGTTTGCTTTTACTGAGCCTGCTTCTGCTGGCGGTTTATTCCTGTTAAAGGGAGTTTTTCTTTTTTCTGTCGCTTAAAGGGATCACTCACAAAGAGAGATTGCAACAAAGTCAATGACATGCAACTGACTATCCAACATTACGACAAGATATTTTGAGGAGTAACAAACCATTGACGCAATGCAGTCTGCTGCTGTCTTTAAATATCCGATTACTGATTAACATATTGGAGTAATAAATTTAGATTGATTATATTATTTTCAAAACTAGGATCAACCTGGATTATTTGCATTTAGAATCTGTATGATCTGATGAAATTGATTGTTTTTGGTCAAATGTCTTGGGAAAACATGTTTGAACTGGCGCTTGATAAATGATAAAAAATTGAATTAAATCCTTACATCAATCTTTATTTAAAACTTACTGCAGGCTTTTTTCACCGAACTTTAAGTCTGAAAGGCAGAAACTAAATAGTAAACAAGGAATTGCCAACAGATATGATTCAGGTATTAAAAGCTTTGACATTTCTCTCTTCACTCAATCCTTTTTATGTTTCATCATCTTTTCACCAGCGTTGCTGCAGTGTGAGCCTGGAGAGCTTGTATGTGAGAGCTGGCCCGGTTGTATTCCGCTTTACATGCGATGTGACCGCTCCCCCGACTGTCTCCCGTTCCACTCAGATGAGTCCAGCTGCCATGGTAACGTGCTTTCTTTTTGCTGTTAATTACCTCCAGCATGTCCTGCCATGTCACAGGTTGCATCGACTGTGAAATTATAATGACCTCTGCCTGTGCATGCTGCAAGATGAGGTGGCTACATTAGCTGTGCATTTTTATGTAACTATTTCTGTCTAGTGTAATAACAGTGGTGGTCTCATTTAGCTTCTTTAAAAGCTTTTATGTCAATCCTTCCACATTTTCTTCACATATTTCATAATCTTAGGAAGGGTCACACACCTTTGTTTTGTCAGTGTCCATACGTACGCTCATGTGAGATCTGTCTCATTTAAAATCGGTAAAGCTGCATAAAGATTTTCCTGTTTAGCAAATATTTAATGTTACATCAGTTTATCGAAGCTCCAGTTTAAGTCAAGGGCTTGAGAAATTCTTACTGTCTCAAAATTTTAACCTCAAGTGTTGATCCTGCTCCTATAGCTACCAGTGGAGGAAAGAACAAATAATATGATCTTTGGATGAAAATAAAAGTTTATATAATTTTTTTCTATCATCTTGGCCAGTTGTTCAGCAATTACTTTCTTCTTTGGCACAGAAACTACTCTGATCCTGCAGTGTTGGCAAAAAAAGACCTTCTTTATCTATCAAATACATTATAAACAAAAAACATTCGGCTGCAGAGGCTTTTTTAAAATTCACTATATCAGTGAGATTACTCACAACTTTTACCTTTCACCTTCTTATAAATTTTGCCAAATATATTCACTTTCTTTTTTTTTCCATAACCTAATTATTTTGTTGCTTCCTTTTCAGACAGGTGTTGCAATTTCTTTGCATAACACAGTTATAAGAGAGTAGCCAATTTTAGAATCTCACTAGCTTTTTAAAAATGTCATGACCAAAGGCTCTGTCATACGCCCAGTCTTACATTGACAATAATAGCCACTGTAATTTTACCAGATTTCCTTTTATGGAGTGATAAACAAATTTTGGAGTTATAGCCAAGATGTTGAAACATACACAAAGGTGTCTCCTGGGTTGTCCCAAGGACTTTCAGATTAGTTTTTAAAGTTGATTTTTAAAGCAACTTCAGGTGAGGCTATACATTGTATATTCTTTATTGTTTAATTACAAATAATCAGAGAGTAAAAGCTGTCATACTTGTTCTATTGAAAAAACAAACAAAAAATTATTTTTTTATCTAACCTTTACACTGGTAACAAAAGGGTTTATGTGGAAACTGATAATTGAGGAGCTGATTTATTTCAGCTGCATATTTTCTGGTAAATTGTGCTTCTTAAATTGTCTTGGGTATCATAGCCAGAGGATAAATGAGTATTGCAAAGAAAGGCTCCTAAGCTTGGGTGATTAACAAGGGTTTTCATCAAACATTTCTCATACACATAAAACTTGTCATCATTTGTGACATTACCGCATAAAAATTTACTGTATTTACATATTATAAACAAAGGAGAAAACTAGCAGATGGTTTTCCCTTTTTCATCAAAATAAAGATCTTTATACATACTAATTATATAATCTTATAATCAATCATTTCAGAGCATTCAGACATGTTTACATCTGTCCCACAAAATGAAAGTCCACCAAAAAAAAAGTCCATCAATTTAAATGGAGTCCAGTTGGATATAATTTAATCTCAGTATAAAATCTGCTGTTTTGTTATTGGCTTCAGAGTTTCTGTTTAAAACATTAGAGAACAGCATCACACAGACCAAGCAACACGCAGATATGTCAGGCAAAAAGCTGTGATGATTTATTTTTAAGCAGGTTAATGTTATTAAACAGGGAAAAACATCTGGTATACTGTTGAATCCATCATCTGTAAGCGAGGCAAGGAAAAAAGTGATCGGTGGGGCACTGAAAAGCTCCGTTGACTCTCTGAAGGAGCTCCTACTTGAGTGAGAAACTATTAGCTGTTGATTGCAAACATCTGGCCTGTATTGAAGAATGGCAAAAAGGAAATTAATTTCCTTTTTTAAATACCTTTAAGAGGTCTGAAGAACTACTAAAGAGGGCATATAACAAAGTTCACCAGAGGGTATATATAATTAATGTTATACTTCTTGTTGTGAATGGCTGAAAACTTTTTTCTTTATCTTTGTATTGCAATTCACAAATAGGATAGGAATGCAATGATACATTTTTTTTTTTTTTTTTTTTTACAGAATGCCCACCAAAGTACTGCCAGGATCATGGTTTTTGCCATATTAAGGAACACGGACCTGTCTGCTTGTAAGATGCAAGCTAAAGCACATAAACTTCTACACATGAACAAATAAGAGTTTTGTGTAATTTGCTCTCTGTTTCTCTCTCTGTAATTGTTATTGTGAAATTTAAAATATGACAAACATCTCCGCCATTTCTTTTTTTTTCCATGACAAAAAAGAAACAATCTGTAAAAAGTTTTGTCTTCTATCCATCTAGGTCAAACATGATGGTTCTGCCTTTAATTATCCAGTAGTTTCCTGGAAACAACTGATGCATAGAGTATGGTCAGATTTTACTCTTCGTTTTCACTGCAGGTTCTATTATATAGGATAAACCTCATTTATTAGAATTATATTCTTCAATTTTAGCTTTTAAAAAAAGCACTATAGGTCAGGCGATATTCTGCATTCACTTTGATCGAGGTTTCGTTTTTATCATGTATGGGTTTTATATGTATGCATCAGCAGTTTGAAATATCAGAGATGGGAGATTTCATTTTAAAACATCCTGTTATTGGGCTTACTGCATAATCTGCTTATATCCTTCTAAGTTACTTTCTTTTGGATATTTCACATTTCTCATGTTTTATTGTTTATCATTTAAAAATGTCTTAGATCATGCTGTATTGATAGCATCTTGCCTTTGCATTTTTAACTGAATTAGCTGAGGGCTGTCTGGGTCAGACCATCCTGGTCTATAGCTAACCCACCCTCCCATCAACTCCGCACTTTTTGTTTGAAAAGATACTCAAGAGGTGTTGATCACTAAAGAAAAACAGACCTCCTTTATTAGTAAAGCATTTTTTTTATTATTATCTTGCCATGAGCCTTATGTGTAGGGACAACATACCATCATGCATAGCTCTGTGTGGTATGGAGCGAACAAAGCTGTTGCTGCATAAAAGACAGTTCTGATGTAGATCCTGAGCCCAGCACTGGGGGGGACACCTCAGGCTTATGACCGGCATCATATTCTTCCAGGGAACCTGGCCAAGAACAGCCTACTGTCACACAATCTGGGCGCTGACTTCCTCTGAATGAGAATGCCACCGTCTGTCTTCACTGGATGCCGTGTCTCCCATTAGAGGGTTAGAAATCAAGATGATGCTGAACAGATGTTGACTTGGAGCAGAGTCTCTCTGTTAGGAAGAGGAAGAGCTCACTTTGTTTCCCAGACTTGCACATTGCCAGGGCAGCCAAAATATTTCCAGAGAGTTTCCAAGCTGGATGTCCAACAGACATAAAAAAATGAAAAAAATAAAAAAAATGTTAGAAATAGAAAGGCTCAACAGATATGCATTCAGAGGAGCTTGACAAATTTACCACTTTAAGATATTTAGCAAACACCACAAACCAGCAAAACAGTTTTTAACTTCTTTTCCTGTGTTAACTAGAGGTGTGATGTCCCAGTCCTTTCTCTAGAGTAGGGGAGGGTAAAAGGGCAGAGCCTTTTAGCTGTTAAAAAGATTAATTTTCAGTACCATGATTAAGAACTTGAGTATTTGGCATTGTATTGAAAGCTCACTGGTTTGTACTTGTTTAACCACATGAACTTGTNCTTCTTTTTGCCACTGACTGCAGGTGTGAGCCTGGATGGTCGGGCAATCGCTGCCATGTAAGGGAGAAACCATCTCTCACCACTTCATCCCCAACTCTAGAATCAACACAGCTCGGTAATAAAGAAATTCACCTTCTAACAACAGCTGCATTAGACATTCTCATCCACATCATTATAGATTATAAATCCACACATGTATTCTGTTGTCTAGATTCTGTGTATGCAGGCATCGGCATTGGGTTAGTGCTGCTCCTAGCTGGAGTTGCCGTTTGCTTCCTCGCCCTGTGCAAGAGAAAATGTGGCCTTATGTGAGTCCAAATGGCTCTTTTTAGACATATGAGACAATGTTTTTTGTGAATAAGATGATTACTATGTTTGTTTGGTCCACAGAAAAGATGACCCAATGAAATATGGCATGATGGATAATCCAAGCTTTGACTGGGGAGCAGAGGTCAGTGCGCTGAAACGTCCAATCAATCACAGGCAAAGTCATTTCGGGTGTCTTAGCTGCACAAAATTCATTTTTCCTCCATTTTGTCGCACACTTATTCAATAAGGGGAGCCGGCATGAGAGGAGGTCAGAAGGTGATCGTCAGGCCTTTTTGCCTGATTAGGTTTTTGATTTAGGATTATTGATTTTGCCTCCTATGAGTGCCTATGTAGTGTTACAGGCTGCTCACTACACAAGGTGTAACACATGTAGGGACATAAAAATCCAGTCTGATCCACTGCCAAACTACAAGATACACAGCCATTCAGGTATTTTTTTTATTTTTTTTGTTTAGTATTCTTATAACAAAAAGGTAACAGGAGAGGCTCAAGGATCTGCACGAAGCAACACAATTTTATTCTCAGACAGATGCCATGATTACTGCTCTCCCACTGCATGCTTTGTTCCCTACAGTTTTAATCTCAGTAGTCTTTCCTACTATTGTTCGATGCACCACAGAGGAGATGATACAACCACAGCCGTTCTATTGCTGTAATGACTGATGTGTGACTTTGACGATTCATAAGTCATATATTATATGAGAGCATTAAGACAGGAAGATAAGAGAAAATGAGCATATTGTTTGTTTAAACACGTTGAAACTAATTTTTATCCAATCAAATAATAACAGAGGGTATTTACAGCACCTCGGCAGTCGTAATATTTAATATGATTATGATAGAGTAAAATGATGTGTCTTTTTTCTGATGAGTCTCATAAAGCCTTTTACGTAAAACAAGCATCATAAGCATCAAAAAATAGAAATAATAATTCGTCATTAAAGAGAGATAAAGAGAGATTTCTCTTTATCTGTTGAATAAACATTATTTTTATTTAAGGTTTTTTTTCTGTTTTATTTTTATTTTTTGTTATTTTTACATTCCAAAAAAGATAATAAACTTCTACTACAGCAAGGTTTGTAGTTAAAATGTACATGCATACGTGTTTTTTCAAGCAAAAATATCAGTTTCATTGCCTTCACAACCTGCTTCAGTGCTAAAATGAATATATTTTATGGTATTTTATTTTGTACATTAATACTGACTGACCTGTGTACCTTTGCTTCCATCCTATGCGTAAAACGCAGCTTTTATTAGAGTGGAGTGAATATAGAGTGTGAACCTGAATTTGTGTCTCTGTTACTTCAGCATTTTTTCTAGGGTGCTGAAAAACAATATAATGAAATATTTCAATGAGTTTAAGGATGTGATAATAAAAAGATGATTGATCAGTCTGTTAACTGGCCGTTTCCAAGTACTCTCACACATAAGGGCTCATCTTATCTCTTTTTTGTCCTCAGCTCCCATCAGAGGACAAACGTCCAGACGGTTGTCCCAACATTAACCCCAAAAGGAGTAATGGTCCTGGGCTTTCAATCAGTGTCTACCCCTGGAGAAGAGAGCTGGAGGTGATGTCTCTGCCGAGGCTTTTGACCTCTAATTGTCTGTATACATGGCAGTAATGTGATCCACTTCTCTTTCTGTGCATTTATCTACAGCAGGGTTCAAACTGGAAAGATGCCAAGCTATCCTTCTCCAACCCATTGTACAATTACCCCAGTGACACTAATGGCGCTGGCAACAGAGCCTCTGAAGAATAAAATCAATGGACTTGATGGATTGGTTTTTTGGGGACATGTTTGCTGATGGCAGAGTGTTGATCTGAATTAAGGAGAGAAAAACTCACCCATGTCACATAGATCTGAACCTGTACATCACTCATTTTGAAAATGATGAAGATAATTCCTAAAATATCTCAACAAATGTTTTTATTTTGTAAATATATTTGTGACCATGTATTACAAACACAACAAGTATGTGTTTTGATATTGTAACCAGACTAAATAAATAGCATTAAGTCATTCCTACTGCTCTTGTTGCCCCATTGAAATAAAGGATTATCTTAACACTAGTGTCGATATAGACCACATCCAGAATACTTTTCTAATTTACAGTTATATACAGTGCTTGACTTCTGTCCAGACTTCATTTCAGCTGGTCATGACAGCAAGGAGACATTTGAACTAAATTAAATCACTAGGTAAGGATACAAACCTTTGAGAACATTACTGTGCAATAATTTCATTTTCATTACACCTGGCTGTATCTGTGCACATCAATAGACTGAACTTTTTTTCCCCTCTGAAACTGTATAACTGGGAGATCATCTGTGAACATATATGCTAAACCTTTTGCAACATTGCCATATTAGATTCAAGTTTGGACTTCAACTTAAGCATTATAACACTTAACAATTATTTCAAGTAGAAATAATAATCAATTATTTGTAGCTTTGCCTGTTTTTTTTTTTTGTTTGTTTGTTTGTTTTTTTGGTTCGATCATCCTAAACCCCAGTTTCAAGTCTTTTCCAGCCTCTAAAATTGTCTTGTTCCTTTGGCAAAGTGTCTCACTTACCTCCTCAATTCAAAAAAAAAAAATGAATTATTGCGACTTCATGTTTTGCGGTTTATTGAAGTCTGTCAATAATTTTTTTCTGCCTTAGGAAATGATAGGAACAATCATGTATAGCTCTACAGATGTTAACATGATGCATGGGAGGTTGTCTTTTAGTTCAACATTAAACAAAATGTATTAATTGTCTGATGTTTGCCTGTTTCTTGATCCCTGCAGAGTCCCTGTGAGTGTGTTGATAGATTCTAGAAGTTCAATGTCCACAATTTTCATGAAAATAAACAATGAAATGAAAAATACAATTAAGTGAAAATTGTTTGAAGTCCAGCTTCAGATTTCTGACTCTGATTTCTGACTCAGATTTCTGAAAACCAACAGCTCAGCCTTTTCCTAGCCTCTCCATCACTTTTTCCTCTCATCTGACAACAATCAAACATGCACACTTGTCATGCACAGCACCTGACTGAAAACCTGCAGCTATCAGTGTTTCTGTCCTGCAAAAAAAATCTCTGGTCGCTTCGTTATTCATGCAGTTGAATGGTTCAAAGGGGAGCCGCTCTGTGCCACTGGCCTTTGTTTCTGAAGCAACATCAGTCAGCTTTTTCCCTCTGAAGCTATTGTGACAATTTCGCTCATCACTAAGCTCAGTCCAGCTAAAGGTCACCGTGTCGTTTGTGTGTCGCTGCACAGAGATGTCTCTGTAATGAAAACGTTCCTTTAAAGTTCATCCAAGTCCTCCTTAAGGGACTCTTATGTGAAAATAGGAGTTGATTTATGCAGTTGTTAACCTCTGTCTCTTAATCCTCTCTTGGTTGAGTACAGTAAAGTGTCTCACAGGAATGGAGAGCAGCCCAGTAAAATCAGTAAATTTATTTATTTTTTTATTCTTTTTTGTCTAAGTGAGGGGCAGAACCTCTGCTTTATCTCTGTTTTTAGTGAGCATGACATTGTTTTCTGACTATCCAGAAAGTTTCAAGGTCATTAACTTGGCAAAAGACAGAGGAAGAAAACCAATGAACCATTTTTGTTTGGATGGGCTGTGATTTTGAAGACTTAGGTTTTTGTATCATTGTTACACTGACGATTAATTTGATGGGTTACGCTTAAATTCTGTTAAAAGGTGATTGTAATAATTAATGCTTGAACCTATCTTCAAGAAACAAATTATATAACGTCATTGCTTTTATACCGGTAAATAAACTTAATCATGAAAGCAATAATTATTTTTTGCACAATTTTTTACCTTGATTTGTTGCCTCTGGAAATATAATGAATTTCTAATATGCTACATGCTTACATAAGCTGAAAATGTTTCACCTCTGGCTTTTAAAAAATAGCAAAACAGAAAATGTTTCGTACTGCACACTATAACCCTAAAAGAATGTGTCACCTTTCCATGTCTTTGAATTCAGGGCATGGAAATCTTGTGAATTTCTATGGCTGAGCATCTTTATCCAAGCCTCAATTAACCAAGCGCAATGCAAACCATCGGACACGGTGGTGCAAAGCATGGCGCCACTTGATTCTTGAGCGAAGGAGACATATGATAAATGTTTTCTCTCTGGCAACTCAACAGATGAATCTGGGTTTTACAGAGTAACGTATTATTAAGTAAATTAACATCCTCCACTATACCTTTAACTTAAAGACAAAGCTCAACTTGACTTGTGAATTACCTTGCTTGATAAAGATCAAAATCCTTGTTAAAATAAAATCACCTCAAGATGTTTAAAGTACATTTTGTTCCCTCCGAAATCAATAATTTGGTCTTTTGTTGATTTTTACAGTTTCTACAGTTTTACTGCAGATAAGACATCAAGCAGGGATGGTTCTATTTTATCATCTGAATGGATGCAGATGCAGGACAAAAAGAAGTCGACCAAGATTGGAACCCTACTGACCTCAATTGCAAAAGACCTGTATGCCTGATCTATTAAGTGCTGAGCCACATTAAAACCCTTTTAACAACTTTGTAGGAAATACAACAAGGATAAGTGGTTCTCATGTACTGTTCAAATAAGAAAGGCATTGGTTCAAACTGTTCAAACACAGCTGAACAAGCAGGGAGAGCAGAGACAGCTACATTACTGGGGGAAACCAATGCCATGTCTATGAGATGCAGCTTTATTTTTTTATTAAAAATGGAAATCCAATTCTCACAAAAACTGAGGCATCAAGCAAATGAAAATTCTTATGTTATATTGCACCGTATACCACCATTCTACTTTGGGTTTGGATTTTTTTAAATGGAAGATAGTGTTAATTACTTTTCTGACTCCAGCATGTTGCTGGGTTTTTAATGATGGTGGGGCTGCTTTCAGAAGTTGGAAATGGCCCCTTGCGTCCAGTGAAAGGTACCCTGGTAAAATATAAAAGGGTCCTTAAGACAATTCCATGCTCCCAACTTTGTGAAAGCAGTTTTGAAATGATTATTTTTGTTACCAAAATGACTACACTTGTGCACCAGCAGAAGTGTTTTCATTTTGGTTAGATCATATAGAGATGATAGTTTGGAGCCAAAGTCACCAAAGTGGTCAAGAAAGTCCATGTTGCCAGGGTGGGGTGGATAAGATCTGCTTTGAGAATCTCAGGTCTCTAGATGTTGTTGGGCTGTTGTAGCTGACACGCTTCTTTAACATTGCGGGGCGGTTGGGGACAAAGCCCCCAAACTGGCAGACCAGGGTGCAGGTGCCCTCCATAAAAAGGGGGACTGGAGGGTCTGTTCCATCTCTAGGGGGATATTTCTCATCCTCCCTGGGAGGGCCTATCCCAGGATGCTAAAGAGGAGAGTCAGGCCTGTTGCTAAAGCGCTTCAGGAGGAGGAGGAGTGCGGTTCTTGTTCTGGCTGTGGAAAACTGGACCAGCTGTACATTCTTTGCAGGGTGCTCCAGGGTTTGAGTTTACTAAACTTGCCAACATGTGTTTTACAGACCTGGAGAAGGGATTTGACCTTGTCCCTCATGCTGCCCTGTTGGAGGTGCTCCATCTGAACTTTATATCAGCGGAGCAGGAGTTTGGTCAATTGCCGGCGTTAAGTTGGACTTATTCCCGGTGCAGGTTAGACTCCATCAGTGCTGCCCTCTATCACAGGTCCTGTTCATAACCTTTATGGAGGGCATTCCTAAGCCCAGCCAAGGGCTGTAGGGAGTCTGGTTTGGGGTTCTTGTTCCTTCTTTCTGCCAACAATGTGGTCTTCTGGCTCCCTTCTCTCATTACCTATAGCATACACTATTTGCACACTTTGCAGCTGAGTGCAAAGAGGTAGGGATGAGAATCAGCTCCTCCAGTCCGAGGCTGTTGTTCTGCACCGGAAAAAATGGCTTGTCCCCTTCAGGTTGGAGAAGAGTTCTTGGGGTCCTGTTCATGAGGGAGGAGAGACATGAACGTGAGATCAATAGATGGATCAGTACGGCTGCTTCTATAATGCAGATGCTGCATTAGTATGTTGTGATGAAGAGAGAGTTGAACGAAAAGGCAAATCTCTTGATTCTCCAGTCAACATTGACATTCCTACCTTCTCCTATGGTCATGAAATCTGGACCATGACCAAGAGAATGAGATCCTGGTACAAGCAGCTGAAATGAGCTGTATCATCAGAATTGGTGGGCACTCCCTTATTGATAGGATGAGGAGGTTGGTCTTTTGAGAGATGCTAAGAATGCAGCTGCTTTTCCTCCACATAGCTGAGGTGGCTTAAACATCTTTCGGAAGTCCCCTGGTTGGGAAGTGTTCCAGGCTTATCCTGGGTCATCACCTGGGCCTCTCCCCAATCACATGCCTGGAACACCTCCAGAGCTGCACTGAGCTGTCTAGACTCTCCAAAATGGTTTATAATAACTTTGAATGAGATTTGTATGGTTTTGGTAACCATAAACAGCTGCACATTGGATAAAACTTAACATTGAACAGTTAAATAAAAAAGTATAATCCTGGTGGGTTTTTTTTTTTTTTTTTTTTTGCATTTTCTTCTTAGAATTTTTAAATCAGTATCCTTTCAGGCACGTTAAACTCTTTTTGTCTTATTTATGCCATGCAAAAATGAGGCATCATGCATATCTGTTAACTGCAGAAGGCTGCTCCAAAAGGTTTTTTGTTAGTAAATGCAATTTACAATAATTCTATTGATTTCCGATTGTATATTTTGCGAGGAAAGGATGATTTGCCTTTCTCCTACCTTGTGAAGCAACAGACATCTGAACAAGTATTCCAGGAGGATGGCCATTTTCGTAAGGAAGAGACTGAACAAAGCTAAGGATAAAAACGGAAATGTATTATCAAACCCTTAACATGGTTTGACTCTGTTTTACTCACCAAAAATGAGAATATCTCTTTCTTTTATTTTTCTCCTTTCCTGACTGCTTCCAATATTTATTTGTTTGAGAGAAATTTCCTGTCCACTTTGATGGAGTCTAATCTGAAGTTCACATATATTTTCACTGTAAAAAAAAATGTGATCTGTATGCGCATTGGTGGATGGAATGGAGAAGATGTAGGCATCAGCTCTGAAAACAACTTCAGATATAGCTCCTCATTGTGGCAACCTTCCGTTTCAGAGGAGCTGAGAATTTCTTCCACCATGCCATGTTCCTCATTGAATCCATCCATTGTGATGGACTGCATCACTTTACTCTTTATAAGATGTAGCAGTTTTAAGGCAGAGCTTTGACACTTTGCTGTGAAATATCTTATACCTTTCATTCAAATATTTACACTTTCATTGAACTGAATAAAATCAGTCTCAGATTTCTTTGTCAAATAATGGTTTAGCTGTTTTAATTTGATGTTAACAGACCAGCCAAAAGAAGGGTCCCTCAGCCTGCTCTTGAGTTTCCCTTTGAGTTTAGTCATCACTTTAAAGACAGAGGTTATGCTGAATAATCTTGCCTCAAGGGCTTTGATGCAGTCTAAGAAGATCTTAAGAAAATGACCATGAAAACTGGGGCAAATGAAGTACATCACAGAAACTTCACTGCTGCCCACTGCAAAGCACCTTCAGAAAATCCTAGCAGATTCTTCATCACCTATGCTCTGGAAATAGCTGCTCAGGGGCTTCTAACATACAAGCATACAGTTGATAAACAGCAACAGAAACCGCCACCTTACGATGACATGCAATAGCAGGCTGCAACCATCCACCTCAACTAAGCCACAAAACTCTTTCAGCTGTTTTATTCTAATAAATGAGGTACTATAATGGCGGGACAATTTTAACACAATTTTTAATTTCCAGATCCAAGTTGCCAGCTGCATATGTGTGAAACACTTCGCAGCAGATCCATCAATTTAGGCTGCTTTTAACTTTTGATAAACACTGTTTTGTTTTCCATAGTTTACAACTGATGTGTATTCTGATGATTTTTTTCTAAATCCAGTCCAGACATCTCCAGCGTTGTGATTAGTAGTAGTATCTGTTACAGCTCTCGATGTGTTACTGTCACTCTAAAAATCAAGCAAAGCATGCTCCAAGGCCTTTTTAAAGTGAATACATCTCCATATGATGCATCAGTCACTACTTAATAATGCAGAAGAATATTCCTATAGATGGAATAGTGTGGTAGGACGTTTTCACACAAAGCTTTCATTTAAGTTTTTCCACAGGTTCCCCCGTAGCTGTAGATGAGTGTTTGTAGATCTTGGATGGTTACCTAGCTGAAATGACCCTGGCCATGTACATTAAACAAATAACGTTTAACCGTATTAACCAATAACAAGACAAGCTTTTTTAAAAATCCATCTGTTCATCTTAAAGCCGGACATATGACCAACTTGCACACCTGAAATATTTTAGGGACTGACATTTTAGTTGGATGTTTGGTTTAGAGAAGGAATATTTTAAATCTTAAGGGTTGACGAGAAGTCTAATTTGCTCAGATGTGCTTTTTTGTGTGGGGTCCCTTAAAGTTCAGTTAGTTGGCTTATAAAACCCATAAACCAGCAGCAGGTTTAAGGAGGAATATGACATTGAGGAAAAGGGCATAGAACACCATAAAAAGCTTGTTTATTAGGCTGCATAGGCCAGTTCAGCCTGATGCTCTCTCATCCAGGTTGCAGTTCTGCTAAATAAACATGTGCTGCAAAGTTTCCAGTCAGAGCAAAACTAAATGTTAATGTCACTTGAAAAGGGAAAGGGCACAAATTGTGCAATGCTCTAATGGAAAGATGAAGACAGAATGCAGCTTGTTTTCTCTTCAGGTTTTTTTTTTTTTTTTGGTGTTAGACTGCTACATGGCCTCTTTGTTCTCTATTCATTAATTGGCTGAGAATGACAAACACTTCAGTGACCAAACCCTGCCAACTGGATTCAACTCAGTGGAAAGTCTTACACCTGCTTTCCAAGTCACAGGACCCTATTTTTTGATGACCTCCTAATTTTGAGGCTTTTTAATTCTTGCCTCCAGAGAGAGAGAAGGGTTCTGTCAGATATTCAAAGAAGGTAAAGTTAATCAAATCTGTGAATGGTTGTTCTTAATTTTGGAGCATCTAAAAGCATCCAAGGAGAACTTTCAGAGATAAAATCTTCTGCAGATGATAGCCTTGTTGTTTTTCTTTGTAAGGATTCTGCAAACATTTGACATCGAAGCTCTATCCACCAACTATGACCATAGCCCTCCCTCTGAAGAAAAATCATGCTCACATCATTTTGGCTGCAACCAACATGTTCATTGTTGGAAGGGTTAGATGAAGATTTAATTTCCTAAATTAATTGTATTTTCTATTACGTCAGTTTTGTTTCCATCTGGACAGAGCCCTTATTTCACCTTTATTCTCTAATCTGAATTTTTTTGGTAAACTTCAAGCTAAATTTTTCGTGACTGGTTCTTTGTAGCTCCTCCAAAGTTACCCAGACTGTCAGTCTAGTTAAACGTCCAGCTCCTGGTAGATTTGTAGTCATTCTCTTACCAAATTGTTTAGTTTTGTGTGTAGATCTTGTTTCTGTTCTATTTGTGTATTTAAAAAATAAAGGTATAAATGATAAAAATATCTATAATAATAATAATAAATACACTAAATGTAGTTCTGTTCTTTTCAAGCCAGATCCCCTTATTTGTCTGTTGATTCACAGCCCATGATGACATAAACTGAATCTACAATGCGCCTGTATTTGAAGAGCACTGCAATACAAGCATTTCCTCGTTATACTCCGTTTAATTTCCTGAAATAAAATGTGTTCAACTGTTTTAAATCATTTTAGTCAAAGTAAATACATAACAACCAAAATAAAACAACTTTGATTTATCAAATGTGTGTTTGCTTTCATGAGAAACACCCATGTCTGATTACTGTCAAACTCAATTTTTTTAAATAATATTTATCTTTATCAAATATCTGACAGCATAAAGTGGGTGAAATAGGTATTGAACACGCCACTATTTTTCTCTGTAAATATATTTCTAGAGGAACTATTGACATGACATTTTTAACAGATGTCAGTAACAATCCATGCACATATAAAGAACTTAAACATACATGTCCAGAAATAATTTTTTTTGTAATAAAGGGAAATGACACAAGGAAAAAGTTTTGAACATACTTACAGAAATGTATTTAATACTTTGTACGAAAAGCCTTGGTTGGCAATGACAGCTTCAACATATCTCCTGTATGGAGAAATTAGTCGCTTGCATTGCTCAGGTGTGATTTTGGCCCATTCTTCCACAGCAACAGTCTTAAAATCTTGATGTTCCATGGACTTCTTCTATGAACTCTGATCTTTAGTTGTTTCCATATATATTGTTTAATTGGATTCAGCTCAGAATATTGGCTGGGCCAGTTTAGCAGCTTTATTTTCTTTCTCTGAAACTAATAAAGAGTTTTCTTTCCGTAAAAGTTAAAAAAACAATCCACTGGACTTGGTTTCCAAGGTTTGAAGATGTTTCGCTTCCTCTCCAGGAAGCTTTCTCAATTCAAATATCTGGATCCGCAGTGAGTTTGAGGCTTTATATATGACTTGCAGAGACGTAATTTTCTCTTTACCCCATATAAGAAAAAAATCTAGTAATTCTGTATTTATCTTTAATGTCAGTATATTGCTGTGCATAATTAACCACAGGGTTTTTGTTGTCAGGTAATTGTTTACATATAGAAAATTAAAATGTTAAATAATTTAGAACATTTCACTTGAGAGTATTACTGCTGCCACTGTCTGTATTATAGGGAGAAAATGGTAAGGGTGGCCAATAATCACTGGTGCCAAAAGTACACACATTTGTTATTTAAGTAGAAGTATAGATACTGCAGTTTAAAAACACTCTGGTAAAAGTTGAAGTATCAACTTGACCTCTTTATTCAAGTAAAATTGAAAAAGTATGTGCTCCAAAAACTACTTAAAGTATAAAAGTATAAAGTAACCTTTAAATTAAACGGCCAGTTGCCACTATATGAATTGAAACCTCAATTTTTCGACTATTTCAAAAAAATTCTTTGAGATAGGGCCAAGGTTGAGGGAGGCCTTGTTGGTCTCCATCTCCCGATACGCATTCGCCTGTGTCCGACCTTTCAGACATTTGAACATCTTTTTCTGAATCCAACATTATAGCATGGCATAGACAATTCACGTTTGCAGTTTGAAGAACACCTGCTTGCTTCTGATGATTTCCTTTAGCTAACCAATTAGTGTTTGCGTTATATGACTCATCCAATTCCACTAGTTTTCACCAGATGTGTATGGCGTCAATGATCTGCATTGGATGATGCACATGACATGAAATAAATATTTATAAATATCAAACTGAAGCCAAGAGTAACAAGTAACTTTTGTTTTAAAATGTGAGGAATAGAAAGTACAGAAACTTGTGTGAAAATGTAATGAGTAGAAGTCAGGAGTAGGAAGAAAAACAAGTAATGGAGTAAAGTATAGATACCTAAAAAGTACTACTTAAGTACAGTAACGAAGTATTTGTACTTTGTTACTTGACACCTCTGCCAATGAATAGGTAAGGGTGGCCTGGCCCCCCATCTAGCTCCGGTCCTGGAAATGATAACAGCCACAAAATATTAAGGATTTTCTCAATTGACACCCAAAGAGAGTATTAAAACTCTTCATATGTAACCTTATATTAAAGATTATCAGTCTGCAATGATGTAAAATAAAAGATGACAGGTTTGTCTCTAGATGCGGGTTCGAAGGCGGGTGAAAGCCATTGGCCAAGGAGCTGATGACGGTGAAAGCGCACCGTGTTCTCCAGGAGCGCCTTCTTCTGCTGCCGGCTGCACCCAGCAGCTGGGACTTCAGCACCATGTGGAGCTGAGCTGCACCTCTTATAGCACTCACACTCCCTGCTTTCCAGATATCATCAGCTCTGCTTCGGTTCTGGGCGCGTCCCAGGAGCGCACAGAACGGCACAAACTGGGAAACAAGAAGAGAGAGAGAGAAAGAGAGAGAGAGAGAGAGAGAGAGAGAGAGATAAATACAACAACAGAAAAATCCTAACAGAGTTGAGTGCAGCGCAGACAGGTCTCCGCTCTTTACAACAGCAGCAGGCTGGCTGCAGGAGAGTTAATGAAAAAAATCAAATCAGCGGAATAAAGAAAGCGAAAAAAGCCGAACTTGGATATGGCCGCAGTGAATGCGCTCAGGCTTCTCGTTGGAGTTGTTTTCTTGTTGCTTTGTGTGTGGAATATCCAAGCGCAGATCGGTGACGGTAAGAGCCCCCAGCCTTCACTCAGACCTGCATGCTCGCACTAATAATGCTTGGCACTAACGAGAAAATGACACAATTATAAAAAGACTGCTGGAATGTGGATTTAGTGCAGCGTATGGTAGACTTCAATAGCATTTGTACTGCAAAAAATATCCCTCATTGTTACTGCTTTATTTATTAAGATTAATAAATTATTAAACTAAACAAGTCTAATGATCTCCTAACTTTCACCTTGCATCATATTCTAATTTTCCTCATCTTAATTTCTTAATCCTTGTCATTTAATTGCTTTACTTTGCTTACTAGTTTAACTGGATCAGAGGTGCAGTATTATCAGTAATGTGTCTTAAGGTATAAGGGTGGTTGCCCATGGCTGCATAAATACATGGGGTGGCTCACATGCAAAGAAAATAAATAATGGAAAACCTGCCAGTTTTTGTTTTGATGCTGGTCATCCTCTCTATATTATCCTATGGATTTACTACTGCACTATGGTTTTTCAGTTAACTAACAAAATAAAGGCAACTTTTGTAAGTCGTGGTTAACTTACAGATTTGACTATAAGTAAAGAGTTGATTAGCTTCCTGTGTGCTTTTCATGAGCATATTTGATATTTTTACAAAACACACTTTCTCAGAACCAGAAGTTGTTTGTAAACATTTAATATGCTCCATATTTCTCAGTTAGGCAGAGCTA